GAACACAACTCTGGAATATTTTAACACTGCACATGTGTAGCCTGGGGGACACCGTACCACAGGTTGAGCACTATTGTTCTGACCAGGCTCCCAAACACGACAAACCCTCTGTAGCTAAATCTATGACCTGATCCTTGGGATGGAAGAGCCGCGGCTGTTAGCAAAGTCCCACCTTAGCTCTGGGGATAAAAGGCAGGGGGCGGATAGGAATAGGTGTGGCAGATTATTCATCTCCCTGCCGGACAGACTTATTAGCCTGCTGTGTGTGGGAGAGAGAGACTGCTGGCACTCCTAATAAAGGAATCATTGATTTAGCTACAGAGGGTTTGTCGTGTTTGGGAGCCTGGTCAGAACAATAGTGCTCAACCTGTGGTACGGTGTCCCCCAGGCTACACATGTGCAGTGTTAAAATATTCCAGAGTTGTGTTCTCTACAGAACCCCCAGTGGCTAAAGTAACACACAAGATCCAGTACAAGGGCCTGGAGACCCTCATCTGCAGAGTCTACAGCTTCTATCCCAAAGAGGTGAATGTCACCTGGAGGAAGGATGGAAAAGTCTGTGAGAAAGGCACCTTCGGGACAGATGTTCTTCCAAACTCAGACGGGACCTACCATACCTGGCTGAGCATCAAGGTTGACATCGAGAAGAGGGATTATTATCGCTGCTATGTGGAACATGCTGGGCTGCCGAAGCCTCTGATCGTGGCCTGGGAGGAACCTGGTGAGAGAACGGGGGTGGGGGTACCAGTCGAATGTGGGCAAACTTGTCCCTTGAGTGGTCATACAAAGTAATGAATGTGGTGATGGAGTTTCCTCCTTTACTAGGTTCACCAGATGCTGTAGACTTTAAATGAAGAGTCGTGGTGGCACAGTGGTTAGAATGTGGTACTGCAGGCTACTTCTGCTGGCTGCCAGCCTTCAATTCTCAAGGGCTCAAGGTTGACTCCATCCTTCCGGAGTCAGTAAAGTGAGGACCCAGATTGTTGGGATCAACAGGCTGGCTCTGTAAACTGCTTAAAGAGGGCTGTAAAGCACAGTGAAATGGTATATAAGATGAAGTTCTATTGCTATTAAATTGGGGTTGAATTCACTCAACATGCCAGGCCCCGAAAGACCCTACCTTAGGTTCAAATGAACCCTTGACCATATCCAATGTGTTCGGTCATCTATAAAGTAAAAGATAAAGGTTCCCCTAGTACATATGTGCTAGTCATTCCCGACTCTAGGGGGCAGTGCTCATCTCCGTTTCAAAGCCGAAGAGCCAGCGCTGTCCGAAGACGTCTCCGTAGTCATGTGGCCGGCATGACTAAACGCCAAAGGCGCACGGAACGCTGTTACTTTCCCACCAAAGGTGGTCCCTATTTTTCTACTTGCATTTTTTACATGCTTTCGAACTGCTAGGTTAGCAGAAGCTGGGACAAGAAATGGGAGCTCACTCTGCTACGCGGTGCTAAGGATTCAAACTGCCAACCTTTCTGATCGACAAGCTCAGTGCCTTAACCACTGAGCCACCACATCATGGCTTGGCCATCTAGATATTTATGCAAATTTGAGCTGATGGCTTAATGCCATCTGAGGGAGCAGAAAGTTCATAGCAGGGTTCCCTAAGCCCCGGACCACAGACCAGTACTAGGCCGCAGCCCGTTGGAAACCGGGCCATGCAAGCTGCAGGCAAGTGCACAAAGTTTCATTTGTGCATGCGCAGGATCTAGGCTGTGCATGCAAACATCATCCCGTCCTCCCTCACAGCTGCTCTCTCTTTTGCTGTCAATCCTTTATTAGGAGCAAGGAAGGTTGGTGGTATGTAAAACCTGCCTCCTGTGGGATGCCAGAAGAATGGAGATGTGTGTGGGGAGGGGAGGAAGGTTGATCGTATGGAAAGGCAGAAACGTTTTGACTGCATGTCAGAACCCATGAGTTAGAAGGGTCCCTTGAGGTCATCCAATCCACCTCCAGCTCAGATGCAGGCATCCAATTTAAACCATCCCAGAAAGATGTTTGGCTTCTCTTGGGCAAATCCATCATCTCCATTCTTCTGNAGAAAGAAAGAAAGAAAGAAAGAAAGAAAGAAAGAAAGAAAGAAAGAAAGAAAGAAAGAAAGAAGGAAAGAAACATCGACACAAGTTCATCCTTGACTATGGGAGGGAAATTTAAAAAAAAATCACCGTGCCAGTTCCTTCTATAAATTTAATGGGTCTTTAAGCTTGCAATCCTCTTTTTCCAGGACTCTGGAGGCATCTGGAGGTCTTCTTTTAAAGCCCGGTGTGGCCCCATAAAAAGGAAGCCAGGCCTGGATTTAACAAGGTCAGCGGATCCGGAAGACTTTCTGACTCCCGGTTGATGGACGGTAGCAAATAAATAACAAATCGGCTGCCGAAAAGCAGAGCATCAAAAGGGAGGGGGAGGAAACCCTTCAGGAATAGATTTTTCTCTGTGAAAAGATTTCAGGCTTAAATTGGGGTTGGATGGGGGAAAACACAGCCCCCCCCTCTTCGTTTTCCTTGGCTCTAGTTAGTGCCTCATGGAGTAAAAAAGTAAGAATTACAGTAGTCCTCGGCCACCACTGAGCCCAAAATTTCTACTGCTAAGCGAGACAGCTGTTAAGTGAATTTTGCCCCCGTTATATGACCCTTCTTGCCACCGTTCTTAAGCGAATCATCGCAGCTGTTAAGTCCCACAGTCCCCCTTTTTTCTTCACCCAACATCTTCAAGTCATGTGCTCCTGTCCACCATTAAAACCGTCTTTCCAAGCAGCCACCATGTTTCCAGTATCTTTCCCCACACACACAGACACACACACACTTGGAACTGAACCCAGAAGAATATTTCTTCCAATACTATCCTGTTAAAAATGCAATGCATAAATAAAATCAGGACAAACCGGAGGAAGAATATACTGTACTGTCTATAATTAATTTCTGGACTGCACACAGCCCGCACATGTGGAAATAAGCAAGGCAGCTGTGGAAAAGAAAACTTTATATTTTTGAGAGTGATAATTCACACGAGGTTGCTGCAATGAAGAAGAATGGAGCCTTTCGGATTTAAAAATGTTCTAAAAAAAAAATCTTACCTCATTGACGTTCAATTTGCATCTTACATCGAATGCACAAAGCAAAAAAAAAAAAAATTAGGCTACACACCCACCTTGTGATTTTGGTAGGAGGTCACCGATATGAAGGAGGTTTCTGGGAACACGTGAGTGCAAAAAGCTGTGTTCTTCGAGCCAAACGCGTTGTTTTCATCCGCTTTCACAATGTGCAACCTGGGCTGGTATTTGTGCATGGAATTGAGAATGATCTGGGGGAGGAAAAGAAGAGAGAGAAAGATAATCTATCTATCTATCTATCTATCTATCTATCTATCATCTATCATCTATCATCTATCTATCTCTCTATCTCTATCTCTATCTCTATCTCTATCTCTATCTCTATCTCTCTATCTATCTATCTATCTATCATCTATCATCTATCATCTATCTATCTC